CTATAAAACTGTTTGAATTTAAAGAATACAACTTGTACATTTTTGAAAACTCAGATTGTGTTCAACACTTTCTTCTTTTTCTCCCCGCTCCCTCGATTTTTTTTTTTTTTTTTATTTTATGGCAGATTGTGTGCTGTGTGTTTGCTGGTGGTAGAGATGTTGAATTGTTAAGTTAGTTTTCTAGATTATGTGGTTGAAACTTTTCCATTTAACTTGGCTGCAGCAAAAGTTTATATAGCTTTTTCTTAAACTGTTGCCAAAATAATTTAATACCTGAGTGTGTCATTGGTAAGTTTGTAAAAAATGTTCTGTAAAAACCTCTGAAAAAACCTTTTCTAATACATTCGACTTGGTATTTCTGCTTCTGCAGTTACATGTGGGTTTCATGCCACCACTGGGAAAGGATGCTTCAACTGAGGCAATGTGGAATAAATTCACCAAAACTGCATGGCTCTTTTTTCTTTTGGTAACTCCCATGATCACTAGTGTTACAGGATGTCGTGCTTTTTCCTGTGTAGACCTGTCATTTCACGTATCTGCATACTGTTACTTTCAGAAATTGGTATTTTTTTTTCTTTCAAAAGGGATTATCTTCGATAAAAAGTGCTGTCACTAACCCCATTAGCAAAACTATGCTGCTTCTGGTGTGCAAGTGGGACAGGAGTGTATCGGCCTGGCTGGGGCTGGTGGTTGTTACAGCTACATTCTGGAAATGGACGGTGTGGTCTGCACCTGACACTTGAGAGCTGAGAGAATTTGGTTTTAGTTTTAGGTGCTAAGAAGTAGGGCTGTTCTCCCTTGACATCCATATTCAGAAAGATGATCTTAAATGATGTTGCAATTCCTGTTGATGAACAGAGGATGAAAACTCAAAACTGTTCTAGAAACTTTCCCTGCCACGCTGCGCTGCTTGTTTCCAAGGGTTGTGTTGAACTCTCTAAATATTTCAGTGAGCACTTCCTCAGCTTGCACTGGCTTCTGATACTGTCTGATGGAGCTTCAGGGAAACATCAACACCAGCTGGGGGTAGGGGACAAAAAACTGCTCTAAGGTGTTGCTGACCTGTGTTTAATGTAAAAAGGCTCTGAAGCCGGTTGTGCTTTAGTGCATCTGGATGATATTCTGATTGTCTCACGAAGTTGCGTTATATGGTGACCTGTGTTCTTGCTTCCAGAACCTTCGTTGAAATAAATCGCAGTTTCTGTGTGGTAATATTTGTTCAGACTGGTTTGTCTGCTGTCTTTCCTATCCCAGCGCGAAGCCTGGTTTGAGACACAGAACTTCTTCCAGGAGAGCGAGATAGGCACCCGATTGTTTTTTCTGTATTTTGTATTCATGTGTGGTCCTCTCATTTCCCCCCTTCCCCACCTTTAATAGCTGTACAGTTGCATTTCACACAGAAGTGGAATTTCCTTATCTTGTTTTGGTTTTTTCATCTCGCCTGCGTGGGTGGACTTGCAGAACCAGTGTTCTGGATCTCCCTGCATCACAACAAGCGTTGTTGCCCAGTATTGCAGATCTATTACTTAGAGCATTTGAAAAAGCAAAGGCTGTTACTGGAAGAAGATCGAAGAACTGAAGCTGACAAAGGTAAGCCAGCTGCTTTGAACCTAGTTTTGAGACCAAATGTGAAAAGAATTTCCCAGATGGGTTCACCTGTGCTCAGGGCATTGCAGAAGTAGATTTCTTGCTGCTTTGCTTACGTCCCGCCTGTCCAGCATGTGACAGAAGGCGAGTAGTGGCTGTGGACCATGCATGATGATTAAAGGGCATTTTTTTTATGATTATACCATATATGACAATTTTGTCACAACAGCAGTATTAATTTATTCCAATATTTACATCAGTAGGGTTCAGAAATAAAAAAGTGCTTTTCTGCAATTCAGAAGTAAAACAGTGCTTTTCTGCTGACTACACTTACCACAAGGGCACATATCTGTATATAGAATATATTAGGTATCTCACTGGTTGCTCTTGTTCATTTCAGAAACAGTTCATAAGAAACAGAGGTAAAGATAACACTACGAAGCAGAGCAGAAGTTTGCAGAGTACCACAGCTTTATTACTAGAGGTTGGATCCTGTTGGCAATCCTTAGACAGTTAGCCCACTCCTCTGGACAGATAGGGTCCACTGATTAGATGCTAGGGGAGATGACTGATGCTAGCAAAAGTGGACTTGCTGCACTTGGGGGTTTGGCACATTATTTTTCTGTTAATTTATGACCTATGTGTTGCGGTGCTGACTATTCCACTTAAATATTGCCAGGCTTTATTAATGGGGAGAGAACAGGTATGGCAGACACAAGTTTTTTACATTCTTAATATTTTATTGACCAGAATGCTGTGTAGGCTTTAATTTTTAGCTACTTTTCTTTCCAACAAAAGTCAATTTTTTCCATGTAAGTGAAGCAAAGAAGACATATTGTTCTGAATTCAGTCAGCTCTTTAGTTTACATACATCAAATCTTGATGTTTTCCAAGGTGCTGCAGTTAGTTACGCAGTATCTTAGCTGTAGTGCAGTGCGTCATACCTGTTTCATTTCAAACGTCAGTTCAAGAGACAGCATAGCAGCTGCAGTTACTGCTCCCTCAAGGATAAGGTTGATGTATACTCCTTTACGTTTTTCCCTTTTCAGCCAAGTAAGTTCTCGTGTTTTGCTACATTCACCATTTTCTTATTTTTATTGGGGTTTGGAGTATTCACGTTGCAGCCTTGTCTGTTTTGCAGGTTACTTTGTCTGGGTTCGTTCAAGTGAAGTCATAGTGTATGAAGCACTCCATTTAGACCCATGAAAAACTGACACCAAAAGACCAAGCGAGTAGAGTAAACCAAGAGAGCCTTCTGAGTTTGACGCCTGTAACTAGTCTTCTGGTGGCAACTTTGAGGAAGATGTGATTCTTGTGGTCTCAGGGAAAGAAGGTCCAGCCACAGGCATGTAAAAATGATGCTTAATAAATGATTCCAAAAAGCTGCCTTTATGTGTTTGCTTTTACTCGTGATTGCTCAATTAGATATCGAGAAGAAAAGCGATAGGGTGGGTCTCTAGAGGTACTTCTGGTTTTCCAGGGGTCTTCTGCGCTGCGCAGGCTGACTTTGAATTCTGGCAATAACCAGAGGGGACTGAGTTTTCCAGGGAGAAATAGGGAGAGACCGTTCTGCTTCTCAAAATACCCTGGTGCATCTCAGGCATGTTACAGGCTTCTGTTTGCACAGTCTGTGGTTTAAATAAAACCTGTAAGTTTTAAATGGAAAATAGAGGGGAGAGGTAGGCAAGAGGTAGCGACCAAACATTTCTCTACTTGCACAGCATGAACACATTTCTGTCGTGACGTTGTTTGCAGAGACATGTGGACTGGGGACGGAAATAGGATTGCGTACAAACTTGAAGCATCACACTGTATTTCAAGCTGCTACAAACAAATTAACTATTTAACACTTTGCTAATGTTGTGCGTACACTTGTTGCCTCCCAGCATGAAAATAAAGCAAATAATTGCAGTAAGCTTTCTGCCCAGTAGAAGTTATTGTAATATAATGAGAAACTTTGTCCTGCACTTTGAATAAACAGAAGCAACAGGAAGCTGTTGGAAGGGGGACGGTGTTGTGTTAGATACAGGAAAAAAAAAAAATAAAAATTCAGAGGGCTCTGTATCCATCGCCTACAGCTCAGTATGCAGTTCAAGCTGATGCAGTGCCTTTTCTCTCTGGTAACATAGCAACTGGACCACACCTCCACCTGCTGAAAGATGCTCAAGAGCCCTTTGAGCACTATCTGGTGTACTGCAAGGGAACTGCGCCAGTTTTAATTACCACAGCATTGCCAGCTGATACATTTATTCCCTCCCCCCCCATGGAATGGCAAGGAAATTCTTCGTTCTCTGTCAAGTAATCCTGTTTTTTTCATTCACTGTTTCCATAGTAATCCCATTTCTGTTGTGGAAGAGGGCTATGTTAATTTCAAATTAATACCAGAATTGTATCTATCAGTGCATTTGATCTTGTTTTGAAGTAAGTTTTTGATTAAAAATAAGAATTCTTGTCCACCTGATGCTTTTCTTGTTTAGCACTCCTGTATGGTGGTATTATGTTAACATTTTGGAAGAATACTCGAGGATTTGAGCATGTTTTTCTTCTCGCTTAGACTTTGCAAATGACTGAAAAGCTTTCCCCACTCCTAACCTCTCTTCTGTTGTGCAACAAAAGAGCTTTCCTTTAAGCATCTTGGTTTCCAAGCACAAGAAATCGTCTCTGGGCATTACTGAACGTTTGACTTAAGGTGTGATGAATCCTCTTATGCCACGTTGAATTTTTTGATGTATACTGTAGATTGATGTTTAACTTAGCTAAAACAAGTGTGGAACTAGCATTGTTCAGAATTTCTCTTTAAGGTTGTTTTGTTCGGATCTCGGGTTTTGTACAAAAAAAAAAGGATATGCAAAGTCTGCATTGGATGTCACAGCCTGACTTTGTTTTGTCGAGGCTGTTTCCTTTGCTGCCTGTCTTAGAAAAATGGTGGTTGTGTTGTAACAGTAAAAAAACATTATTCTGGCTTCGTGACCTGCATGAGGGGAAAGCCTTTTAAACTATCTGAAAACTTACTTATTGATTTATTTCAGTGTATTGGTTTGGTTGTATAGTGACTTAACCAGTTGTTGTTATTGCACTTTGGTATCAGCTTGGGGAGGGGACATGTTCTGGTGCTGTACAGTTAAACAGCCGTTGCAAAATAACGCTATTGGTGTTGCTGTACTTTCAGGTTTACTTTCTTTGGAGAAATTTCAAACAAATCCTAGCCTAGTTCAGAAAGCTTGTGTCAGCTTGTGACTTGAGTACATCAAAATCAATAGCCTACCGAAAAAATCTAAAACTGTGTACTTGGAGCTGTGCATAGACAGTAAATCTGTGGCAATGTTGTGAAAACTATATAAAAATGCAAATAAATATACCATTTTGTTAACTCGATAATGCTTATGCACCCCCTCCCCCTTCTGTCGTTATAGGTCTACGAGGGCTAATCAATCTTGGGAACACATGTTTTATGAACTGTATTGTCCAGGCACTTACCCACACTCCACTGCTGCGAGATTTCTTCCTCTCCGACAGGCACAAATGTGAAATGCAAAGCCCCAGCTCATGTCTGGTCTGTGAAATGTCTACGCTTTTTCAGGAGGTGAGTGCTGTTTCCCACAATAGCGTCGCCTTTCCACAGATGCCGGCTGTTTCGTACCCCAAAGAGGACTGTGTACTGTTCGCAAATGTAAAGGGGTTGCAAATTATGCTTTCCCTCAAGGTGTCGCAAAACAGAGCAGTGAAGGTTGAGTGAGACCCTCCTGTCAGAAATGGGACCCAACTGCTGAAAAGGAAACTACTGGCTTTTTAAGTCCTATTCTTGAGTCACCCTTGTTTAGTCAAAGCCGGTATTGGAAATAATTACAGTGCTGCCTGCTCTTCTGAGGCTGATCTGCAAGTCTTTAGTCTTAAAGCTGGATGTGTGCTTTAATTAAAGGTGCAAGTTGTAACTGGAAAATATGTCACAGGGTGATAATGGGAGTGAGAATAAAGCAATAGTATATAGCCTTGTGGTTTAAGGCATTGGATTATGTAGGGCTGTATAAATATTTTAAAGATCTCGTTTCAGTGCTTTCTAACAGGCAGACACATCTCTGCTATCATCTCTTCTGCGGAAATCCATTAATGGTCAGGAGGATGTAGAACAGTGAA